TGGGGGCCGAGAGCTGAGGGCGGGGCCATCACGGGGCGGGGCCAGGCCTTTGAGCCAATGGAGCTAGCAGTTGTTGCGAGCGGGTCGGACGAGGGCGTGGCTTGTCGACTCCGGGCGGGGCGATGCGGAGACGTGGTCCTGTCATTGGATCTAGATACGTGGGCGGAGCAAGACGAGGGCGGAACCCGGCGGAGGAGTGGTCAATGGAGCTGTCGGCTGGGAGGGGGCTGGGTCAGACGGGGGCGGGTCGTGCCGCTCGGGGCGGGGCTCTGTCTCTGGGCTCGGGAGGCTGAGGACTTGGGGCGGAGCCCTGGCCTGGGCGGGGCCGGGGCGGAGCATCAGGCGTTGAAGGGTCGGGCTGGGAGGGGTGCTTTACCCCTGGGCGGGGTCGGGGGCCGGGGAAGCAGGGCCCGGCGGGCCCTGGGGCTGCTCTGTGGATTCGAACTCCGGGACGTGGAAGGTGTGGGTCCCAGCTGCTCCTTCCCATCTCCTTCCTTCCTCCCCGGCCTGCCTACCCTGCCTGTGTCCCACATCAGGAGCCCTCGCCCCTTGTCCTCCCTAGCCGCCTCCCTCTGGCTGGCCATCTGGGCTGGGGATGAAATGAGCGTTAGAGGAACTAGACCTTCTCTGCGGGCTGCGCCACTGCTCAGCCCACAGGCATCTGTTCAGCGGGGCAGGGAGGCCCGGCCCGGCCCTGGAGTGGGGGGGGCTGAAGGAGGAAGTTGATCTGCAAGGCTCTGCAGGTGGGGGAATGGAGTGTGCCCCTCCCACTGCCCACCCCCCAAGGAGAATGGGATCCAGAAGCTCCAGGGTGCAGGCCCAGCACCTGCAGGGTCAGGTTCTTTCCTGATGGCACGCGTGTGTGTGTTTGTGCCATTCCTGAGCTTGAACTCAGGGGCCAGGCGCTGCCCCTGAGCTGTTTTACTCAACGCTAGTGCTCTACCACAAGAACCACCAGCTCCACTTATGGCTTTTTTTTTGGGGGGGGGGGAGGGTGTTTCATTGAAGATAAGAGTCTTTTGGGCTGGGCACCTGGTGGCTTACATCTGTCATCCTAGCTACTCAGGAGGCTGAGCTCTGAGGATTGTGGTTCAAAGCCAGCCTGGGCAGCAAAGTCCAAGAGACTTTTTTTTTTTTTGTCGGTCATGGGGTACAGGTCCAGCACCTGCAGGGCCATGCAGGTGTGTGTTTGTGCCATTCCTGGGGCTTGAACTCCGGGCCTGGGCACTGTCCTTGAGCTCTTCAGGTCAAGGCAAGCATTCTACACTAGAACCACAGCACCACTTCTGGTTTTCTGGTGGTTCATTGGAGATAAGAATCTCATGGACTTTCCTATGCAGGCTGGCTTTGAACTGTGATCCTCAGATCTTAGCCTCCTGAGTAGCTAGGATTACTCCCGTGAGCCACTGGCACCCGGCTTTTGTTTTGTTTTTATGCCAGTACTGGGGCTTGAATTTAGGGCCTTGAGGCTATCCCTTAGCTCTTTTCCTCAAGACAATGACTTGAGCCACTTCAAGATTTTTCCTTGTTCATTGGAGATAAGAATCTCATAGACTTTCCTGCTCGAGTTGGCTTCAAAACCTCAGATCTCAGCTTCCTGATTCACTGGGATTAATGACAAGGGTGAGCCACTGGCACCCAGCTTTTAAATGGCAGGATCTTGACTGTTTTACAGGTGGGGAAATGGAGACTTCAGAAATAGATATAATTGGGGCTGGGAAGGTGGCTCAGTGGTAGAGTGCATGCTTGTCTAGT